ACACACCGGGAGCGACACACGTAGGTCTATCTTCTATACCGAGCACACGTGGAGCAACGCAGCTTTCACCATCAACTCCAGTGGTGTCTTTCAAACAGCCCAAATTGCCGGCAAAATATATAAAGTCGACATTCGCTAGACAAAACCACGCTGCGTTAACTCTCGTGTGCACCAATGTTTCCGAGTCCAAATCTAGCACAATAAAAGACAAGTTGCAAGACGATGGCAACCAGTGGAGTTCCATCTGCGATACCATTGGTATTCGGGTTAAGCCTGCTACGCTACAACGCGTAGCGCGTCACCCGACCACAGAGCACTCTGGTGAACCTCGAATTCTTCGAGTAACACTAGACTCAACAGATGAGACAGAGGCTGTCCTACACTCAGCAGTTCGTCTTCTCAACTCATCGAGCTTAGTGCGCATATTACCTGACCTACCTTGGAAAGATCGCCCAAAAGAAGCAGTTGACCAACGCGGCATTCATAATAGGGATAGCAAAAAACAATATTTGTTCATGTTGTTCCCGAGCTTCTGCATTCTTCAGAACACGATGCACAAACACATGACCGAGAGCAGTGGTGCTACATCCGCGAAGCACTCTCTGTTGACAATGTTATTGCCAAATCTTTGACAAGAGTTCCGTCATCACCTAACTGCAAGGGCTGCGGTCCAAGACTAATGAAAGTAATATTACACTCCGAGGGGATGACGCAAGTTCTGTTAGATAACTGGTTAAAGTTTCGAGCTAGGTTGCCAACAGAGATCCGGCTAAAGGCAGCAGGCGAACGGCCAAAAGTCGTAAGCAATTCGATGGAACTTGCAAACGCTGCAAATTCTTTATCTGCACAGTCCTGCGGAGATACCGACACAACAACGCCTACGGCACACATAAGGACAGAGCACAGCACGAGTGAAACGTCCGTTCAGGAACGCTCAATAATGCCATGCAACTTGACTGAAATTCATTAACTAGAAAACGATTAAAGGCCAGCCACCTAACGGTCGGCTTAAAAACTTAACACAAAGTTGCCATCCATCAACGCACTCCTAACAACAAGAACCCAATCTTGTATATACACAAACGCTCAAGGCCTTCTAAGTAACTTGGCCGAACTTAGAGAACTCCATGCCTCACAACCGAGCGACCTCGTCATAATTACAGTGACATGGTTAAACGCTGAGATAACCGATTCTGAGATCAATTTACCCGGTATGTCGCTGCTTCGGACCGATAGAACCGGAAGGGGTGGCGGTGTGATACTTTACTATAATACAAACCTCCAATGTGAATTTATCGATCACCCGGAAATCCGCGCTTCTGATTCGCTTTGGTGCCGTCTATGGTTGCGAAACAAGGACACATGTCTAGTTGCCGTGATTTACCGCCCACCAAACTTAAAGTCGCAAGTGGACTCCAAACTGAATCACGTTTTTCAGTTTGCTTTGAACAAGTCCTACATCCACATTCTTATCGCTGGAGACTTTAACGTGCACGACATAGAAAAGCCAGCAACCGACGGTACGCAGTTTAAAGCTTGCTTGCAAGAGTTAATTGCTAGCCACCCTCTGTACAACCACGTAACCTCTCCCACCAGATTTCGAACTGCTAACAAGCCATCGATACTGGATTTGTGCTCACTAACGAAGAACTCATGGTTGACGGGATAGTTACAAGCACACCACTCTGTCGTAGTGACCATGTTACTCTACTCTGACTATGTATGCCATGCGGATTATCCTGAAAAGGAGGATGATAAAGTGCATACTGTCACGCACTACAATGTGTTATCTACGCTTGTTAAGAATACATCTTGGACTTTCTTAACCGAATGCCCCCCAGGTGTTGCCTGGGAAATCTGTACAAGGACGTTTAACACATTGTTAGCGCACTCATTTGAACAGAAGTCCTTCCAACCCCAAAACAAGCAAAACTCATTTCTGAGGAGCAGAACAAGTAAATGTATGTCCCGGAGGGATTTGGCATGGCGAGCTCACAAGGACTGCTCGAATGCAGAAACCAGGACTGCATACGTGACACATCGTAAATTCCGTGTGAAACTGATCCGCGAAGACAAGGTCACGCATCAGCAGAAGTTAATGAAGCGATTCTGCACGAACCGCAAACTTCAGTACAGGCACGTTAACGGCCTTCAAACGGTGAAGCGGGGGATTCACGGCTGATGGATGCACGCGATTAACAATGAAAGCAGCCGATCTCTTACGGCTTCATTACTCCCAAACTTTCCAGCAGGTAACGTGCCCAAACATTCTCATCGTTTCTATTACTCCACTGTCGGGTTTAAACAATATTACCTTCCTTGCGGAAGCTGTGTTTAACTTGTTATTCTTGCGTATCCACAGTTCTCCTGGAGGCGCCACCATCCGACCAAAGTCTCTGCAGGCGGTAGCTGGTGATGTAGAAGAACCACTGGTTGTTTTCTATCAGCCATGTCTAGAGGAGAACCAAATTCCACCAGTGTGTAAGCGGGCGGTCATCACTTCTATCCATAAAGGAGGTAGCCGCACTGACCTTACCAACTACCATTCAATAACACTAATTCCTGTACTATCCAAAGTTATGAAATCCATCATTGCAGATGCGCTGATGCAGTATATGGAAAGCCACAAGTTAATAGTCCAAGAGCAACATGACTTTCATTAAGAGCGTCCATGTAATACCAACCCACTAATTGCACGTAATAGCTGGACTGAAGCCGTTTATGATGGAGCAGAAATCGATGTCATATATCTGGACTTTTGGAAAGCGTTTGATCGCTTAGAACATCGAATTCAACTTCAGAGTCTTTGGAACTACGGCATTGGCGACCCAATCCTGAGTTGGATTAGCAATTTTCTACACGAACGACGGCTAGTGGTGAGAGTCCGAGAATCATTGTCCGATGCAATCGATGTGGTGTGGTGTACCACAAGGCTCGGTGCTTGGACCTCGTCTATTCTTGGTGTTCATTAACGATTTGGCGAGATCAATTGCTTCCGATTTCCTATTTTTCGCTGATGTTATCAAGATATGGCGAAGGATCAGAGGACCGGACGACCACGAACGGCTCCAGTGCGATCTTAACACTGTGTCGAACTGGTCAGTTTAAAACGCCCTACCATTCAACGTAGACAAATGTCGCGTTGTGCAATTACGCCATAGACATAACTGCACATATTTGCTTGGGACAAACGGATTGCAGACCAGCTCCCAGGAATGTGACCTTGGTGTGCTCGTACAGAGCGACCTCAACTGTTCAAAACAGGCTGCGGTAGCTGCGAAAAGAGGTGACCAACATGTCGGCATGCTGCGAAGGGCATTCGGGAGATTTGACCCATCAATCTTCCCAATGACTCACAATTCCTACATGCGCCCACATGTTGAATACGCTATCCAAGCTTGGCAACCTTGGTTGAAGCGCGACTTAGAAGCGATAGAGGCACCACAACGAAGAGCAACAAAGAACGTGAAGGGCCTGCGCCATCACTCTTACAACCGAAGGCTGAAGTTACTGGGAATTTTCAGAGGACGCTATCGAAGGCTGCGCGGTGATCTCATATTAGCGTATCAGATATTGAGTGACTTCAACCACGTATGCCGCCACTTGCTGAAACTTAGCCACAACACGCAGCTCACGGGTAACCGCTTAAAATTGAAGGAACAATATAGCCGTCTAGAGTGTCGACCTAATTACTTTTCACTTCGGGTTTGCCAACGCTGGAACGCACTTCCAGACTCAATTGTATCCTCCCCTACCATGGACGTTTTCAAAAAACGATTAGATATTGCTCTTAGCTCCCAGCACTTTGTTACCTAAACTTCTCAATTGTGGATTACGCCAAGCATACTTTTCAACAGGATTTTATGTATCAAATGGACCCAAGTAAGCGACCATATTTTACTTTTCTCACGCCTTATATCAACGACCAATGCACCCCGGTGTATTTCTGAACGTTTACGCTCGATTTTTTAATTTTACACTGATGCTATTTATCAAAGTATTCATCTCGGAAGATGTTCGGTAGGTGACCCAGATATATTTTGATTTCATCGTATTCACCCCAGCCGTCCTACGGGACGTGTCAAGCACTTGCTTTTATCCCGTGATAAATCATTGTTCATTGTTCAAATAGCCCAACTGCAAGGCAGTGGGGCGAATTCGGGGAATCGCGCCCATATTGGGAGCATGTGACTTATTGCTGCGTTTGTATGCTTTTTGTTTGGTCAATCACCAAACAAGGGCCCAATCCTCTTACACTTTCAGCAATAGGATGCTGGAATACAATGCTCCAACCGAGTGTAGCAAGGGGCCGTGACTTTATTTTGTAGCGAGTCACATCCGCCACGTCTCAGGATTGTTAAACGCACATATGTGACTTTTCATAGGGAGAACGCTTGCCAGGCGCCACCGCACCAATACTGAAACACGGCCGCCGAACCATTGAGTTGAACAAGATAATCCTGAACCGCCCAGCTGACTCCGCTATGGTGTCATTCGGCAAGCCATTCACACGCGGACTAAGGGCACTGCGAGTGTCGCCCGGTCCATACACAAGCTTGAACCCGCGCGCTCGGATTACAAAACAGGCTTGTGATTTATAAGGCTACGGTCTGTCTCATCTTTCCAGATGATGTTTGAAAAGATGACGGTCATCCAGTGCCCTTACGGATGTGTGACGGTTGCGAGACTGATTTTGTTCGTGGCGAATTAAACAGGTGATATTTAACTATGCACTCCACTCCATTGTTGCCTCATTGCACCGGCTCTCTTGTTCGGGTTTTGCAAATTGTTGCATTGTTAATCTGCTGTTGGATACGGCGATAACTAGGCTACGTCAACCTCGTGCTTTTCGAAAGCCGAAGGGCCAAAGTTACTCGCAGACAACCTAGTTAACAGTATCTACCTGATTTCATACTCAGGTAGTCTCGAAATATTGCATACGGATTCGAAGCACCACTGCATTAAAGCACGCTAATGCATGTGCGTTAAAAGAAACAACATTATCAAAGGCAACAATTTAGCAGGAATTTAGAAAAAAGGTGTAGTGATTAACAGTAGGTAATGGATAAAGGATGCAATTTCATCAGGGGAAGTTGCTTACAGGTCCTTTGTAATAAAACCTTCGCACGTATATGTTTTCATTATTCCTTTTCCTTTCACAAAAAATTCCCCACGATACGCAAAGTTAAAACGGGTTCTCAGTAAATTTTTCACATCCTCTGTAACTTGAATCGGCCCTGGCACACTAGTGTAGCACATACGGCTGGCTACGTTCACCGTATCACCCCATATGTCGTAATGTAACTTCTTGGTTCCGATAATGCCGGCAGTAACCGGGCCACAATTGTAACCAATTTTTGCTTTCAGAAACGCTACTCCCGTGCGGTCGTAAATACGAATTTCCTGAAGCACTTTTCGCAGCAAGAAACAATACCTCATCAGGGCACACAAGTGACTCAGTTTGTCCGCATTTTTCGCCACTTCTTTACGATTCAAACCCGCAGCAACCATGTAATTCTCGTTCATGGACTTAATCTTCTCAACACCCTTCGCACTTGGATGATGTAGCAGCTTGTCGAATGCACACATAAGTGTGTAATAAGCGGAGGGACCGCTCCGCGCCACCTAAATCCTCCCGGTACGGTGTGGAGAAAAGTTCGAGACAGAGATGAAGGCAACACCCACCAACGGATGGGCAACAGCATAATGAAGTGTGCCTTGGTTTTTGGTCAAATCTCCCTTTCTAGTCTCCTTTAGCTCTTCGAACACGTAGGCTGGAACAATGTTAAACAACATTTCATTGGCCTCGGCGATGGCCTTCTCGGATGCCTCACTTTCGATTTGTGCCTCTCTATGTACAAAGAAACATAGCTTGCATGTTCGCTCCATCTCTCTCGCAACTATGATCACCAACAAGCTGCAACAAAGCAAATGATATATGTGCACAATCATCCACTTGTGTACGTGAACCCCACAAACGAGGTAAAGGTTAGTTAAGCAGAATTGTCCTCTGGGTAGGTGGTGTAAATAGAAGATAAATGTAATAATCAGCGTGACGAAACTGAGAATGCAACTCAAACCTCTGGCCCAGGAAGCGGACGAAGATGGGATCACGTGCACAAGGATACTAATATAATTGAAAGCTGCAAACAAGTACATTCGTGTGGCCGCATTTTCACCAACGGTGTTGTACCTGAATGTTGTCGTAAGTATCGTAGGGAGAAAGGTAAATAGACCAAGGTAGCATTCTCGAACGATTGGATGTGAAGCAAACCGATAGTACTGTTTCAACCAGACGTTACCAATACTATCTGCATGAAATGTTCCAAGAAACCACAGCGTTCCAAAGATAATGCAAGCTATGCAAAGTGCCACACAGCAAACGACGATTTGCCGAGCATCAAATTGGTTAAAAAGTCCGATGCTAGACAGCAGCAACGTGAACATAAATAAATAATCGCGTCAACTGTACGAGCCAGTTTCTCCGAATCCACGTATGTTGGTCCGATGTTGGAGCGCAAATGTTGCTGATAATGCCACTCGATTTCAGAATTCACGAATTGCAGAAGCACAGGGTCGACCGGAGGTGACTGAAACAAAAGACGCTGCTTTGCCGGATCAGTACGCAAGTCTTGAATGTGTTCCATATCTCGCCTCAGATGAAGCGCATTTGTCTGATGGCTTAACTTAATGTCAGCAAGTGCCTCAGGGGATAATTCGAATTCATACCATTCACCGCTACTGTCGGTGCTATCAAATGAAGAATCTGAGTTCTCTGTGATGTCGGTAGAATCGGAAGAGCTCCACTCTAACGCGCTTGGCTCTGACTGCTCCTGTGTGGAGTCATAGATTGATCTATTACGCGGGTGCGCATATCCATGGTAAATACTCCTGACGCGTAGCAATCTGGCTTGTGGTTCAATGAAATAAGTCGGGATACTCACTGATGCAGCGGATCCGTCAAGCAAAAACGACTGTTCGCGCTTATCGACCACCAAGTCTGGACCGGGTGTGACGATGTATACGTCTTTTACCTCGTCGTACGTCGCCTGGCTGATATGGATGAAACCGGGTTTCCCGGTGGACTCAAGTTCGTTCGCAATACGTACATCGTAGGAGTAGACATCATAGCGGAATCTCTCAAATCCAAGAATGGCAGCGTGAGCGATCCCAGTGTGAATTCCTATACGTACGTTCACTGAATGTTGACGTTCGGCATTGAATGCCTTCAAAATGTCACACATGCACATGCCCATCTCAATACAGCACACAGCGTGGGAAATACTAAAATCTTGACTTCCTGCCATGCAGTAGTAACAGTCTCCAAGTGTGCCCAATTTTTCATAATGCGTAGCTTCACATACCTCATCAAACTGTTTCATCAGGTCACCCAACAAGACGACAATTTGAAGCGCCGTGAGACGAGAACTTAGTTTGGTAAAACCCACAATATCCGCAAACAAAATTGATACGCTGTCTAGGGTGCGCATATACAGCCACTCAGTGATGTCATGCTGTTCATTTAGTTGACATAATCTTTGATACTCCCTACTCACTTGCAGTGGCATAATAGTCTCTATCCAATGCATGCTGCCCTTGTGAGCGCGATGCGATTCATTTCGGGCCTGCACTCTTCTTTGC